ATAAAGCAGGTCTGACTAGTTACTTTAATTCTCACCAGTTGCTTGATGCTGCAGGTTTTCTTGAGAACTTCATTTGTACAGTCTGTGGAAGAGTGTGCATTAAGGCTAGTGGCTTAACAAGGCACTTTAGCGGTCGTTTAACATGCACCAATTGCGGCCTCGGGTGCAGCTCAATGCAAGGACAAAAGCATGAATCAGAAGTTCTTGATCACGAATGGGAAAGTGTTTAAACGGAGGCGGAAAGAATTCACAATTACAAATCTGCTCCGTCCGGTTACTTTTTATCATAATCTTTTCATATCCACAAATATTTTTCAATATATTACATATTAACATTCCTGTCCACAATGATAGTATAAAAAATTACTGATTGATAACATCAGAAGATCGTACACCAAGAAAATAACAAATTAAAACTACAGATCCTCGAAGCAATCTACATTAAAAGATTGAAGCCGACACTGAATAGACCTAGCTACGAATACTGTAATAATGTTCTAAAATGTCTATAAAAAGAAGTTTTCACGCTTTAGTGCACGCTCGATCATGGCATTCCAACATAAAACAATGTATAAATATTCACGTTCTAATGAACGCTAAAGCATAAATGTCAACAATAACATTTAAATGCAAAAAGAAAAAATCAGTAATGGATAGACACACATAGTTTGTTCATTATCAGTTGCACACCGATGATGATTTCAAAAAGAGATGGAAAGTACTAGGGGGAAAAAGTGATTCTCACTGATACAGTACATTTCTTGCCTTATTTAATTCTAATATACGGAAAAATATTCGTGAATATGAAAGGATTATGATAAAAATAAGCAGACATAATGTTTGTAATTTATTCGGTCAGACATATGTGTATGTGTGTGTGTGTATTTGGTTTGAAGATTGCATTTTGGCTTGTTGTTGATTCCTATCTCTTCACAGTATCCCCGTCACATCAGACTTTTTGAAGAAGGGTGTCTTGTTGGGATAGGAACTTTTCATATATAATTATATATATATATATATATATATATATATATATATATATATATATATATATATATATATATATATATATATATATATATATATATATATATAGTCTAAGCCACACCTGGTTAGACAAAAAGTATCCATATTCATACAGTTATTTCATATATCTGCACATAAACATATATACAGTTGAGTCTCTCTCTGTATATATATATATATTTATTTCTACCTGTTCATAGCTAATATCAGTTTGTACGTTCGTAATTCGCGAATCTAATTCAATCTTATTGGAAAATTGTTATTTTCCTCACTCCAGAATTCCTTCTCGCCTCGAACAACACATCTGCGTCGACGATTACGCTCATCATCGCCAGTATAGGAAGAACAAATGTAATCATAATTGCAGGAGAAAAAACAAAGATTTCCGCATAATCAGAACAAGAAGTATAAAGACACGACAACAAATCAGAACAGCGACCACAATACTGAATAAGATAAGGAAATAATAATCACAATAATACAAATAGCGAGGATTGTCTTTACGTATTTATATATATATATATATATATATATATATATATATATATATATATATATATATATATATATATATATATATATATATATATATATATATATATTATATATATAATATAGTATATTATATATAATATTAGTATATTATCTATTTAATAATATTAGCAAATACAATAAATGAGTAAACATAACATTATATATATATATATATTTTATTTACTCATTTATTATATTTACTAAAATTATATATATATAATATAATAATATTATATATATATATACTAATATTAATATATATACATAATACTAATATACTAATATTATTATTATTATATCTACTAATATATGTATAAATATATATTTTATATAATATTAATATTATTATATTTACTCATATATTATATTTACTAATATTATTATATATTTAATATACTAACACCAATACTATATATATATAATATACTAATATTAATATGTATATAATACTAATATACTAATATTATTATATTCATTAATATTCTTATATATATAATATACTAATATTATTATATATATATACTGTATATATATATATATATATATATATATATATATATATATATATATATATATATATATATATATATAATATAATATATATATATATATATATATGTTTACTAATATTAATATAATATATACAGTGGGGTTGAATAAGTGATCGTACACATGAAAATACAGTGTAACCCGGATGTAAAAGAGTTGTCGGAACCGGAGAAGAAGTCTCTTATATCCGGGTTTCTCTTATATCCGGGTTTGGTCTATTTTGTTTAGGTAAGTATGGGCTATAATTTGGGACCAGAGAAAAGCTCTCTTATATCCGGGTTTCTCTTATATCAGTGTCTCTTATATCCGGGTTACACTGTATTTCATATTTTTATTTGTAACATTAAATTAACAAAACAAGAATATATCTACTGTATCAGATTGCATATAA